ACTACCATATCATCAAAGTACACTAATAATGTATGGAATAACAATTATATAGTCATTGTGTTAACACAACACTGTCAATGTTGATGTGTTGACTCAATGACTACAATATTATCAAAGTACACTAATAATGTATGAAATAACAATTCTATAGTCATTGTGTTAACACAAAACTGTCAATGTTGATGTGTTGACTCAATGACTACAATATTATCAAAGTACACTAATAATGTATGAAATAACAATTCTGTAGTCTTTGTGTTAACACAACACTGTCAATGTTAATGTGTTGACTCAATGACTACAATATTATCAAAGTACACTAATAATGTATGGAATAACAATTCTATAGTCATTGTGTTAACACAACACTGTCAATGTTGATGTGTTGACTCAATGACTACAATATTATCAAAGTACACTAATAATGTATGAAATAACAATTCTGTAGTCTTTGTGTTAACACAACACTGTCAATGTTAATGTGTTGACTCAATGGCTACCATATCATCAAAGTACACTAATAATGTATGGAATAACAATTCTATACTAGTCATTGTCAATGTTGATGTGTCTCGCAACAAAACACTGCTGTGACATTATGTAGATAGGTGAAAGCAATGACATTGGGTGCAGTTCTTCATTGGAATACATCAGATCTCCATCAGTTATCTAAACAGTAGTGACACTGAACATTACAACTCATTACATCATAATTTATCACTTATTAGAGAGGTATATTTTATATTCACTCTTTATTTATATTTACATTTTCTGAACAATACAGGATACAATTTTTCATCATCAGGAAGAGAAGATGTTGATGTCTGCACATTTGGGAAAGGTGATAATTTATTAAAATATCATAGATAATTTTTACAATTATTAGCTAAATGGTCAGTACGTGCAGTGAGCTAACTTGTCCTACCAGCCATCTGTCACTCATATGTAGACCACGACTTATCAAACATTGCTGTACCTCCAAGGGCGGGCGGTAGGCAGGCAAAGTGCCTGGGTTAATACAATACTAGAGATAATATATGAATAATTTTCTTCTTGGATAAAATAAGTTATTAGTAACATTCTAGTAATGATAAAACAGTACGACGAGCATTACCGTCAGTGGTGACATGTATTGACTCAAACTCGTACATGTATTGGTTTTACGTCTTGCCGTCCGTCTAGCACTTACAAGACATGGTCGTGCGCTTTTTGAAACCGTTTGATGAAGGACGCTTTCACCCCCGCTTTTCATAATAATAGACGGGGTATGACACGACTCAAGCTGACCAATAGGTGATCACCATAAAAAACATGTGACCTGCAATTTTTCATCCAATGCTTGTACCATTGTTTACAAGTATCATGCTCTTCTTCGCATTATTATGCATGTCTGCTTTTTATTGAAAAAGGTACACACCATGTTCAATCATTAAAAAACATAATTCACTAATCTGGTCGGTGGTGTTCAATACTTCTTATGTCGATAATTCATAACTTACGGCTCAAAGGATACAATGCATTTCAAATTGAATGTGGAATTAAATAATATAAGCGA